CAAAACGTTCAGATTACGAACTGAATCATTAGTTCACGTTTTTTTTTTTTAGTAATTTACGATCCATTTTCTGCTTTTGCTTATCGAGTTACATTAATAATATCATTGTTTGTGTGTGTGTTTCTAACAACAATTTCAATGTTTATGAAAATATTGTAACAACACCAACAAATGTAAGGCGATACGCGTATGATGGATGTGCTAATAATAATAATAAATCACGTTACAATGTTTCTTTATAATCGCTTGCGCACTTTGTACTTGCAACTAATTTTGCTTTGTTTTAATTACAATTTAATTTATAATCGAGAACAATCATTTTCTTTGATGTTGAGAGCAAATTTGATGCTGAAGTTACAGTTGAAAGGTCATTATCCTTTCTGGTGATGACTAACATTTTCACTTCTTTTCTATAGACCAATAAAATTCTCTTTAATTCTCCTCAAACTTATAAGTGAATGACTCAGAAATTATATATATACAAAATCCATTAGTTTTGATAAATGTATAGAAAACGTTGATTTCTCGTTATTTTCAATTATGATTCATTGAAACATTCTTTTTTTGATCCAATGAATTTCCTGTTTGATGTTTTCAATTCTAATGAGAATATTTAAGAAACAAAACAAGAAGTGCACTTTCAACTTTGCAAGTAATGATTATTTCCATTTCAAATGTTGTTAATATTGATTTAAATGTATACACACTGTAGTGAGTAGTTTTTGTAAAAGATATTTTGTCTTTTTCAACAAAAAAAAACGTATATAAAAGTGTAAAAATGTGCATTTTTTTTACAATTATCAAAATTATCAATATTTCAGATGGAAATATTATAAAGTTAAATTGAATATATTTACAAATTATAAGTTTCTTATTAATTACTTTTTTGTGCATTTTTCTTTAATTCTTAATACAACTTTTGAAACTCAATAAATGTAGATATATTTTTACTTCATACTTTAATTACAACATATTTTTAACAAAAACTTAAAGTTAACTTAATTATTCTATAGAATATGTAATTTTTAGTATTTTTTTCCTCGTTATTTTCAATTATGACTCATCGAACCATTTTTTTGATCCTGTTTGATGTTTTCAATTCTAATGAGAATATTTAACTAACGAAACAAGAAATGCACTTTCAACTTTGCAAGTAATGATTATTTTCATTGCAAATGTAGTTAATGTTTATTTAGATTTATACAAACTGTAGTGAGTAGTTTTTGTAAAAGATATTTTGTCTTTTTAGAAAAAACGTATATAAAAGACTAAAAATGTGCATTTTTTTTTACAATTATCAAAATTATCAATATTTCAGATGGAAATATTATAAAGTTAAATTGAATATCTTTACATATAATAAGTTTCTTATTAATTACTTTTTTGTTGTATTTTTCTTTAATTCTTAATACAACTTTTGTAACTCAATAAATGTAGATATATTTTTACTTCATACTTTAATTACAAAATATTTTTAACAAAAACTTAAAGTTAACTTAATTATTCTATAGAATATGTAATTTTTAGTATTTTTTCCTCGTTATTTTCAATTATGACTCATTGAATCATTTTTTTTTGATCCTGTTTGATGTTTTCAATTCTAATGAGAATATTTAACTAACGAAACAAGAAATGCACTTTCAACTTTGCAAGTAATGATTATTTCCATTTCAAATGTTGTTAATATTGATTTAAATGTATACAAACTGTAGTGAGCAGTTTTTGTAAAAGATATTTTGTCTTTTTCAACAAAAAAAACGTATATAAAAGTGGAAAAATATGCATTTTTTTACAATTATCAATATATCAATATTTCAGCTCAATAAAGTAAAATAGATGGAAATATTATAAAGTTAAATTGAATATCTTTACAAATAAGTTTCTTATTTATTACTTTTTTATGCATTTTTTCTTTAATTCTTTATATAATTTTTGTAACTCAATACATTTAGATACATTTTTACTTCTTACTTTAATTACAATAAAAACTTAAAGTTAATTTTATTATTCTATCGAATAACATTTCTACATGCAATTTTTAGTGTTTATTTTCTCGTTATTTTCAATTATGACTTATTGAATTTTTTTTTTGATCCAATTTATTTCTTGTTTGATATTTTCAATTCTAATGAGAATATTTAAGAAACAAAGCAAGAAGTGCACTTTCAACTTTGCAAGTAATGATTATGCAAGTAAAATAGATCGAATATTATAAAGATAAATTGAATATCTTTACAAATAAGTTTCTTATTGATTACTTGTTTATGCATTTTTTCTTTATTTCTTAATATAACTTTTGTAACTCAATAAATTTAGATACATTTTTACTTCTTACTTTAATTACAACGAAAACTTAAAGTTAATTTTATTATTCTATAGAATAACATTACTACATGTAAACTTTAGTATATTCTCTCTCGTTATTTTCAATTATGACTCAATGAAACATTTTTTTTTTGATCCAATGAATTTCCTGTTTGATGTTTTCAATTCTAATAAGAATATTTAAGAAACAAAACAAGAATTGCACTTTCAACTTTGCAAGTAATGATTATTTTTACAATTATCAAAATATCAATATTTCAGCTCAATAAAGTAAAATAGATGGAAATATTATAAAGTTAAATTAAATATCTTTACAAATTATAAGTTTCTTATTGATTACTTTTTTATGAATTTTTCTTTAATTCTTAATATAATTTTTGTAACTCAATAAATTTAAATACATTTTAAGTTCTTAGTTTAATTACAACAAAAACTTAAAGTTAATTTTATTATTCTATAAAATAATATTTCTACAAGTAATTTTTAGTATTTTCTCTTTATTATTTTCAATTATGACTCAATGAAACATTTTTTTCTTGATCCAATGCATTTCCTGTTTGATGTTTTTAATTCTAATGAGAATATTTAAGATACAAAACAAGAATTGCACTTTCAACTTTGCAAGTAATGATCATTTTCATTGCAAATGTAGTTAATATTCATTTAAATTTATACAAAGTGTAGTGAGAACTTTTTGTACAAGATATTTTGTCTTTAAAAAAAACGTATATAAAATTGTAAGAATGTGCATTTTTTTTACAATTTTATCAATATAATCAATATTTCAGCTCAATAAAGTAAAATAGATGGAAATATAAATTGAATATCTTTACAAATTGTAAGTTTCTTATTAATTACTTTTGTAACTCAATAAATTTAGATATATTTTTACTTCATACTTTAATTACGACATATTTTTAACAAAAACTTAAAGTTAATTTTATTATTCAATAGAATAACATTGCTACATGTAATTTTCAGTGTTTTCTCTCTCGTTATTTTCAATTATGACTCAATGAAACATTTTTCCTTGATCCAATTTATTTCCCGTTTGATATTTTCAATTCTAATGAGAATATTTAAGAAACAAAACAAGAAGTGCACTTTCAACTTTGCAAGTAATGATTATTTTCATTGCAAGTAAAACAGATCGAAATATTATAAAGTTAAATTGAAAATCTTTACAAATTATAAGATTTTATGCATTTTTTCTTTAATTCTTAATATAACTTTTGTAACTCAATAAATTCAGATACATTTTTACTTCTTACTTTAATTACAACAAAAACATAAAGTTAATTTTATTATTCTATAAAATAACATTCCTACTCATAATTTTTAGTGTTTTTTTTTTAATTTATAATTTTATAAATAGAAAATCCCATAAATATAAAACTTTTATTAATTATTTTTTTAACAAATAATCATTACTTTACGTAATTGATTTATTTCAGTTCAAGGTTTTCTTTTTCAAAATAAGTAACGTTCTCATAAATTTATAATAATTAATAATTGCGCAGATGTGTCGTGATTCATTAGAAAACGCTCTGCAATTTACATTTTTAATCGTCCATTTATTACATAACATGACTTAACAATTTTTCTCTTTTTCCATTTACTTCTTTCATTTTTCTTAATGCAAAAAAAAAAAAAATGATATTCAATTAAAGTTTTTTTTCTTTGTCTTAAATTTTAACAAATAATTTAAGATTTATATAATTGAAACATTATCAAATTAATTATTGACTATAATTAAAGTTATTATTTATGATTTAAACTAATTGGATTGTTTAGTATTTGCACGTTTTGACTGTTTGTAAGAAATTATTTTAAAAAGTTCGTTGGGGCTTTGAGTAAAGGTAATCCGGTTTCCTTTTTGTAGTCTCGCCACCCATGATAATTAAAAAAAAAAACCCTTATTTTTTTCGTTCGATCTGGGTGCAACGGGGTGGACGAAATGCAACCGAAGACGGTCGACAGATGGGGGTAAATGTCCGATCTGATTGTGGGGAGCACGTTTTTCCACCGTAAAAGAGAGCGAACAACCAACATTTCGTTGTTCTTCATAAACGTGAAATGCACCATCTTCCACCGCATCTCTATCCTTCTTACACACTCGCACACAAGAACAGCTTCTCATCCGTTTCCCATCTGTGGTCGGAGCGGGTGGTCCAAAACCATTCTCCGGTTACAAACAACCAACTTGTTAACAGCTTATTACCCATTTACGGTTTCTTCAACGTGTGCACAAACACTGGCTAAACCGAGAAATTAATATAATATATAGAAGAAAGAAAAAAAGGATATTATTAAAACACTGCTTTTTTTTTTGAGCTTCACACGCGCCACAAAACTTTGGAAACACTTATTCTTGCACACATTTCACTTTCCTGAAAATATTTCAACAAAATACCGTTCCAAATCATAGATGTCTCTACTTAAGATTCAATTACAGGTGGTAAAAATATAGAAGAAAAATGCGTTTTTTTTTTCTTTTAAAGGAAAAGAAACCAGTTTTTTTTTTTTAAAGAAACTGGTTATGAAATCTAATTGGAAGAGTTGTCTCAAATACACACACGAACAAAGTTCTCTTTTCTTTTTTGGTTAAATATTTGTTTCGTATAAATTAAAATGCGAAAAATTGCTTTTTTTTTGTTGTTGTAGTCTTAGTATACCTTGTATAAGTACTGATCAAACATCCTGCAAACATCTACATCGCTTCCGACGCAGTAGGTTGCCTCCATATTCTCACCACAAGAACCGTTGAGGGTGTTGATCGAGGACACGATAGGCCTTAAATGTTCCAGGATGATGTAGTGCGGGTAGTCCACGTGGGCAAAATAACCACCTTACGTAAACTTATATAGATTTATATATATATAGTCCTTTTTTTTTTTGTCTATTTTCAATTCAATTGGAAATCAGCACTGATGCGAAAGCACAGAAAAAATTGTATTTGTCCGCGTTTGTTTCTCTCTTTCTCCCTTATTTGGAAGTATTTATCCCCAAACAAAAAGAAGAAAAAAATAATAAAAAAACAGCACAAGTCACACAACAGCACACCTTCGCTGCTACCAAGAGTTCTTCTAACAGTTCTTCACAGGTAGGTTATCAAAATTACGATAAAAACAATCTCTTCGATGTAAGTAAATTCTCTTGTGTATTATATGGTTTGTTTTTCTTTAGTTTCTTTCGTTGAGAAATTTTTTTATTGGATTCCGGTAGAGTCCGGTCGCGTGGTCACGTCGAGCATGTTTCCGGGGCACACACGTGTGGGTACGAAAGCGGCACGATACGAAATAGCGCGCTCCAAGCTCGACCCCTCCCGAGGATTGATACAACCTCGACGAGACCCCCACCATTCGCAGTTGCCGTCTTTTGTCTCGCTCGTGCAGACAGAGGACGGATGCGCCGACTGGATGTGGAAAACGCGACGTCCCGCGTCGATTCGAATCACGAAAATCCCAATTGGGGAAACGAACAGAAAATGTATAAAGAAAAATTAAGAAAAACTGGTTTGCTTTTGGGTTGGTTGGGGGTTGTTGTTTTTTTCTTTTGGAGGGTGACGTAGAAAAATTTGAAAAACGCAACCCTTAAAGCCAGCCAGGATCAAATTCCGTACCTGTGTGATCACCTTTTTTTTTTTTTTTGAAAACACCGAAGACTTTCTCTTTTCAAAAAAATCCACCTGAAACCTTAACCAAAACGGTGGATTTCTTTATTTTTTTAGACAATCACCTAAAGTGCATCATAATCTCTGCAGCTTTTAAAAGTAACAAAAATTAACAAATTCACGTTAAAATCCTTAATTTTAAGAATATAAGTCTGCAATGTTTGTAGACGTTAATGATTATACTTAATTTAAGAATTATTGTGTTAAGATCAATAATTTAACTAATTTGTAAGTCAAGTTCATCTTTAATTGATGTTAATTCTTTTTGATAATAATTATTTCTTCAGTCATTCTTTTTCAAGATCAAATATATTTTTTATAAATTTTAAATCATTCTTAAGAAATTCATACTATTTGATCTATTTATAATTGATTAACAATTAAAGTTAAGACTAATCAATTAAAGAAAAAGTCATCAGATTTCAAACATTATTAGTAAAGTTTTTTTTTTGTATCAACTATTAATTATTGATAAAAATGAAATGTACAAGAAAGTGTTAATAATTATATAAGTATAAATGTTTCTCTTTCTTATTAATTAATCAATACTTAATTAATTCTTGAATTATCTACAAAATAATTTGAAGAATGCACTTTTTAACGAAAGAAAGAAACAAATTACAATATTTTAATGACTTTCGTTATTTAGTGTAAATACAAATGATCTCTGTCGTTGACAATTATTATTAATGATAATAACATATTACAATTATAAAAATTATCAACGATTTGCATTTCATCTAATAGTTTTATATTTCTAACATATGATGTAATTTTTGTATTTCCTTTTCTTGTCGACTTACATTTAAAATCTTAAATTAATAGAATTTGAAAAATATGTTATAAAATTCTTAAAATTTGTTAATATTTTTTTTCTCAAAGATTTTTCTTGTAAACTAATTGTCTGATTGACTGATATTTCTATATAAATTATTATTTTTTTTTCTCTTCAAAATAAAGTAATTTTCATTTAGTGTTTCTCTTTTCAAAAACAAAATACACCTAAAACCTGTTAAACCTTAACCAAAACGATGGTTTTCTTTATTTTTTTAGACCATCATATAAAGTATATCATAATCATACTGTAACTTAAATAATTTAATTAACTTTTTCTCTTCAGCTTTTAAAAGTAACCAAAATTGACAAATTCACGTTAAAATCCTTAATTTTGAGAATATAAGTCTGCAATGTTTGTAGACATTAATGATTATACTTATGTTAAGAATTATTGTGTTAAGATTAATAATTTAACTAATTTGTAAGTCAAGTTCATCTTTAATTAATGTTAATTCCTTTTGATAATAAATATTTCTTCAAATCCATTCATTTTCAAATATCAAATATATTTTTTATAAATTTTAACTCATTCTTAAGAAATTCATACTATTAGATCTATTTATAATTGATTAATAATTAAAATTAAGACTAATCAATTGAAGAAAAAGTCATCAGATTTCAAACATTATTAGTAAAGTTTTAACTATTAATTATTGATAAAAATAAAATGTACAAGAAAGTGTTAATAATTATGTAAGTATAAATGTTTCTCTTTCTTATTAATTAGTGAATACTTAATTGATTCTTGAATTATCTACAAAATAATTTGAACAATGCATTTTGTGATGAAAGAAAGAAACAAATTACAATATTTTAATGACTTTTGTTAATTACAAATTTGTACATACAATAAAGTTTAGTGTAAATACAAATGATCTCTGTCGTTGACAATTATTATTAATGATAATAACATATTATAATTATATAAATTATCAACGATTTGCATTTCATCTATTAGTTTTATATTTGATGTAATTTTTGTATTTCCTATTCATGTTGACTTACATTTAAAGTCTTAAGTTAACACAATTTAAAAAATATGTTATAAAATTCTTAAAATTTGTTTTCTCAAAGATATTTTTCATGTAAACTTATTGTCTAATATCTAATTGATTGATATTTCCATAGAAATTATAATTTTTTCTTCAAAATAAAGTAATTTTCATTTGGTGTTCACATCTGACGTTGGTTTGGTTTCAGAATGGACCTCTTTTTTCTCTCGACTCTTCAATCATGAAACACACAAGGCAAGGCTTGCACGCGCAGCCCGAAAATATTACCCGAAAGGTCGTTAAACCCGCACCTGACCACCAACCAAACAACCAACCACCATTTGATGATGCCCACATTCCATCATCGTCCGTAACAATTTCTTATATATATATATATCGAACATTTCGAGGAACTCGAAATAGAAACCGTTTCCGAAACAATGGTAAAACAATACCCTATTTTCATGTTTGAAACGAGAAGCGAAAAAGGAAGGAATGAAGGAAAGAGGAATAAAAGGAAACGCACGTAACGCGTTGGAAGAGCGAACCGATAAATTCATGGAATTGGCAACGTTACAAAATAAAATAACGAGACTGTTATTAACATTGCGATATGGTAATGCGTGTGTGCTGTTCCCACTGCTGACTTTAATTTTATTTTAAACACATTTTATGAACACGTTATAGTAGTCGGCATGAAAACGCAGTTGAAATACATCAAAAAATCTTAGTTTCTCAAGGATTAAAATGCTCAACATATTCATTTTGAAACATTCTGCTCGTTAAATCACCAGTTAAAGTTATATTTATAATAATTACGAAATATAAATTTCGACTTCCTTATGTTCTTTCTTTATGTTTAAGCTTTACTTAAAGTAAAAAAAAGGGGTTAATAATGCATTATTCGTAAAAGGATGGATTGTGTGGAAACATCAAAAGGAATGTTGATTAAAGATTTCGCGAAACATCAAAAGACTTCGAAATAATCGAATGCGCTCAGTCTGCACATGTGAAAACGTATCGAATCTTTTGATGCTTTGACATAGAATATTTAGACAATTTGGATTTGTACGTAAAGAACTTCACTTGCATTAGTAATCTTTTGTTCTGCAGCATTTCCAATTCTTATTAGACCCGAAGTTCGAAAGCTTATTACAGTGAAATGATAAAAATCACAAATTTGGAAATGGGCTCATTGGAAACATCATAGTTTTATCTTCAATTTACATTTTCAATGATTTAATTATCGTGCGGAGTTTTCGAGTAATCAAATAAAAAGTGAAGACTAGATTACTCAATTTTGACAGCTCATAACAAATGAACTTAATCAAAGAGACCATGGTTTTACCTTTGATTAGCATATTTGATCATCCAATTAAAGCTTATCAAGTAATTAAATAAAATATAAACAAAGAATTATTGGAACAATAAAATTGTTGATGAAAAAAAGTAAAAAGCAAAGAAAATTGCTTTTTTTTTTAATCCATTATTATTTCCTTTCAGTAAGTAGATTTGTTCTGGACGATTACCACACAATGCAATCAATCAATCGAGGCAGTTATTTATTTGTTTTTCTCTCTTTTAATTTCGTAATGTTATTAAACGTTTACGAAATTGTACTTTTCCATGGAGAGAAACAAATAGAAATTGTGAACGATAACAGAAATATATGGGAGAGAGAAAGAAAAAAAAAACGTGAATTTAATAACACATGTAGATGTGTGTGTAGTGTGTATGTTTTACGACTTCTATTTACATCGCAACTATTTTCGTGCGCCCCAAGGTTTGTTTATTAATTTTCGCGCCGAAGATTTATTTATATTAGCATTTCGGGTGTCTGTGTGTGCGTGTTTTTTTTTTGTCGAGCGAAATTAATTGTTACGCAATGTTTACGCAATTACGTTCTTAATTAAGAATGAACGAACAAGGAGAATATAAATTTAGAAACCAATGATGATGATGAACTGGAAGGATGAAATTTTTCGTGTAGGAAAAATAAACAAGTTGTTACATGACGGAATGCGATAGGTTAATCTCAGATAAAATAACCTGTACAACATTATTGACATATATTAGAAGTTTACGTAATGGGTAAGAGCTTTGTTTTCGCTGCGTTTTCCTGGTTACGTAACGTTAAATGGTAACTTAGCAACAAAAATGTTTGTAAATAAATGAATGGTGAATAATGCATTTGCAAAAATATAACTTAACTATGACAGATATTGAATCTAATTTCGTGATTATGAATCGTATAAACGGATTAATCCAAGTTTAATCCTGCAAATGGTATCAAGTGTGCTGGGACATGTCGCTGGGACATGTCGCAACTTCGTCCTTTCTCTTTTTTTTTTAAATATACATGAAAAGCAGATTTCGAAAGGCTTTAAACGATTCCAATGGTGGAAATATGTACATATATATATAGAGAGAGAGATAGAGAGATAAAAAAAAAAGAAGGAGAGGAAAGGTCTTTTGTTTCGAGCTAGGATTATGTCCACGCGCTTCGGTATATTAAAATACCATTGTCCATGGGATAATAACTCCTATATATACGCTTACGTATATATAAAAAAGATATTCTATATAGTATGTAGTTGGAAAGAAGCCTCAATAAAAATCGATTGTCGAATAAGGAAATCACGTAATTGGAGCAAAAACGAAATGCACGTAACGAATGTGTGTGCAAGTCGGAGAGAGAAAAAGGAAAGAGATTTAGTTTGAATTAAGTGAGCGTGACTCTTGGGTCTCCCTGATAAATGGAACGTTTTTACCGGTCGATTAGACCCCAGTTGTAACGAATAAAACGCGACGTGTCCGAGGACCATTCATCAGGAGCCGCAAGAGACGCAACCAGGGATTTAGTTAATTGCTGAAGATGGGCACGTGCCGCCACAGCCTTCTCTATACACTAGATGTGTGTATGTATATATATATACACATGCAGAGGTTTTGTACAAGGGTCGGTCTGCACG